GGGAGTTTAGTGTTAGCGTGTGGCGTTAGCAAAGCTCTGCTAGCAAGAAGCCTTTCGGGCTGAAGACAAACCAGCCATGTGTCCTCTGATTAGTTCTATATGTGGTCAGCCTTCCGATACCCTATTGTTTTGGTTTAGCATGTTCATTTTAACAATGAGGTTAATTTGTTTATTAAAACGTCGTTCTATGAGATTTTGGCGGTAACTAGCCACCTATCCCCCGTTGGCTCTGTAGTCTGACTGACAGCGTTATGGGAAGTGTTACATATCTAATATATCTGGACTAGATTAACGTTAGCACCTTCTTGTTTTAAACACCCAACACGTTCACTAATGTTTAGAGGACACTGGTCTTTGACACGGATTTCTTTGTTGTAGTGGACAAACCTTTTTAGGTTGGTACGTGAGTAAAGAGGTTTTCTGCCACGTCTGTGTGAGACGGAGCCTCCGTTTAGACTGAAGTCCAGACAAACCATCAGCTATGTAGAGCTTTTAATTATTACAGGTTTTCTCATCCATTGTTGGCTTTTTCCGTTCCCCACTTAGGCGATCCTTAACCAAATGTCATTCTGTGTCCAGACAATCATCATCAGCAGCAGCATTCTTGAGGACATGCACAGAGATAGGCAAGTTTGTTTATAAATGGACCATTTATTATTGAAATCAAAGCTTTACAAAACTTTTTTTTTCTTTTGCAGGCTCTCCATCCAGCTCCACCAGCTGCTGAGGTTTTGGCCAAGATAGGAAATACCAACTGGTGGGATCATCAAGGTAGAGTACCTCACATCTTCTCCATACTGCACGGAGAAGATGTGAGGTACATCTGCTATCATGATCTCCAGCTCAGCCGAGGAGAGGTCTGTTGGGTCCATCAGGAACATGTTGACATCTCCCACCATGCGCTGCTCCACTTCTATACTGGGATCTGCCCATCGCTGCTTATCCAAGATGATGAATGTGCACTCTGGCAAACTGCTTTAGAGGATGAATAAGAGCATGTTCGGTGTGTACATTTACTGCAGAAGAAGTCTTACTGTCATCATCTTCCCTCCAGCTCCCCTGCATGTCGTATATAATATTAATCATTTTTGGGCTAGCCCATGCTACAAGGGGCGTCAAACCGTGACGCCACCCGATAAGAAAGCTTTGCAGCTGCTCTATCGTTTAGGCAAAACATGCGGAAAAGTCAAGGTGCGTGACTGTTGTTTTCGTGGTGTGTACTAAAACAATTGGACATAACCTTACACATTAAGACAAATATTAAGACTAGCATTACAGTTGACACTAACAGCAGTTTTCCTGTAACCTTGACGTGCCTGCAGTCTGCACTAAACATTCATAGACAACAAATCTCTGAATATCTAACTAAAAAATAACCTAACAGTGTTTCATAAATTGAGGGTAAACATGAGTGAATGTTCTTTATAGGCTTGATGGCGATGAACCCAGCAGTCTGGCCTTTCCTTGCCACCAGTAATTCAGAGACAGCATTTCAACATGTGGTGAGATGACATCTTTCAGTTTTTTCTCCCCCTGATTTTGTCCAAATATTGACTTGGAACTTTGCAGTCTGCATATAAAAGTATGTTTACTGCCCAGGTACAAATGTGCCTGCTAAAAGCCTTTTGCTTCAAGATTAAGCAAACCCATCAAAACCAAAACAATGGATTGAAATTGTAGAGCATATCATGCTTAACTAGCTTTTTCAGTTCCCCCTTAGGTGATCCTTAACCGGATGTCACTGTGGCCAGACCATCGGCAGCAGCATTCTTGAGGACATGCACAGAGATGGGCAGGTTTGTTTATAAATGGACCATTTATTATTTAAATTGAAGCTTTACAAAACTCTTCTTTTGCAGGCTCTCCATCCAGCTGCCAAAGTTGGAGTACCTCACATCTTCTCCATGCAGTATGGAGAAGATGACTCCACCAGGAGGCATTTCCCATCTTAACCGAAACCTCAGCAGTGTTTAAAGTGATTTTTCCAGGCTCTGCTGTTTCTTTAATAAAGCTCTTGCAACTGTAAAATGTTCTTGTTCTGATTTTTAATGTCTGAGATGGCAGGCACTGGATCAAGTCTCCTAGTTCTTCACTCTCCCTAGTGAAGAACTATGAGTCCAGTGCCCTTTAAAAAGGGGCCCCCACGTGGAGAAATGTCTTGTCCACCAGGCTTTCATGAGGGTTGATGGCTTCAAGGCAGGGGAACGTGCACAAACCTGTTACAGAACAAAAAAAAAAGTGGACACTCCTCTGAAACATGCAGTGTTTAAATATACAAATAGTTCTACAAGGTAGACTGTAGCAAAGTTGTCAGCTGACTGAAAAGCAGTATCACTATAAAGCCTGGAGAACTGTTTAACATATTGATATGTAGTTAACTGCACAGCTGGATTGAGTCATGTTTCTGGCCATTTGGAGGATCAGAACCTGTACAACAGCTTACACGTTTGTCCACAGTGAATTTAAGACAGTTCTACTTGCATGCTGTTTCACTTGAGAGCAATGGTCAATCACTGTTTGCCATAAACATTACAGATAAAACTTTTTGCTAAAGCAATACAGGCTCTGAAGTTTTGGTTTAAAGCACAACAAAGCTTTATCATACAGTAAATGAAACTGTTACACTAAAGTTCATTCTGACCCTGTGGACAATTGCAGAGTGAAAGCACTAATAAAGACACTAACATGCACACCATATATCAAACTAGCTTTGTCAGTGGGGGAAAAATGGGTCAGATTCGAATTAAATGTGTTAATTAGTGTTAGATTTGAGCATTTTCATTACAATCAAGACTGCTCAAACACTTTTGAAATTAGTTTGTCAGGAAAAAAGAGCGGAGACATTAGTCTGACCTGAACCCATCAGTACTAGTATAGTACTCTCACTTGAACCAACACAACTTTAAAATATGTTTCTCACCTCATCAACTCACCATTGACGTCCATATGTAGGAGTAACAGGGGCCCTGAACACTGTCGGTCCTCCTGGCAACACGCCCAAGGCTGTTTAAGCTGTAGGAGTCCCATATTCTTGTCCATGCGTTCTGTGGCCTATTGAAAGACACATGGGGGGAGTTAGTCCTATAATGTCTGTCCTAGTTATAACAATTACTCTGATCACATAAACCTGTACAAACTAACTGTGACTACTTTAACTTTTGGTAAGTTAGATATATTTCTCTACTAATGCCTTTGCGCTATTATTTAAGCTAAATTTTAAATGCAGCACTCTCATCTGTAACAAGGCATCTCAGTAAAAAGATGCCGACCGGTTTTGACCTCACCGGGTCTTCATCAGGACAGAAACATACAGGTGCAAACAATTTGATAAGTTTCTGTGCTGATGAAGACCCGGTGAGATCAAAACCGGTCGGAGTCTTTGTATTGACTTCTCCTAGATCGAGAAGCTTTCACAATTAGCCTGACAACTGACAGGCAAAGCAAAACAAAACAGTAGTTACCCTTGAAAACTTTCATGCTAGCAGAGGTTTGCTAACGTCCTACATTAGCATTAGGCTAACGCTAGATAAAGTATCCCACCTGGAATAAAAAAACATAAATTTGGACAACTGTGTTAACAGCGAAGCACCTGCGCGCTGGCTACATGCAAAACGCAACACATGAAATACTTACTGTGATTTCCTACAATTTTCGCCTCACCTAAGTAGCAGAACAGCTCCCGCTCCTATCCATCTTCAATCTCCACCACAGCCAACTTTACAGAACTGCCTCCGGAAATTAATTTAAAGAACCCAGCTACCACCTGATTGGACAATTTGACTCTGCTCTGTGATTGGACTGTCACTGTCCAATCAGATTCTTCTTCTTCTGTTATTTAATGGCGGTTAGCAAACAGCTTGAAGTGCATTACCGCCACCTTCTAGACTGGAATGTGGATCAGAACGGCTCCTACCTACCACTATTAGAAAATAACCTCACTCAGTTCACATTATATCATCTTGCTTAACGCTGTGCTTTCTAAAAACCTAATAGGTGCTCTGTATCCTTATCCCCTGATCTGGACCAATCAGATCCAGGTGTGATTCACACTAAACCTCAGTACTTCTCAACAGAGCTGTATGTGCAATTTGCTACTTTCTGTCTGTACACAGATGTTCACAAACATGCTTTTTTCAGTGTCTTTGAGTAACAATTTACCAGTTTTATTCACCTGTTCAAAAACGTTTTTACGTACAGATCTTTTCTACACATACTCACAAAAATTGTGACCATGTACATACATTGCTATTTGTACCACTAAATTGTCATTCACTTGACTAGCAGGCAGTAATGGGTCACACTTGTTAAGATTGGTGAAATGCTGTGTGCCACCACTAAAGGGCAGCCTTACTATTAGTGATGGCTGATCGAGGCTTTGTTGAAGCTTTGACACAATTTTAAAAAAGGTTATGTAGTGTATATCTAAACAGTACGCCATCCGGTGGTCAATAAAGTGAAGTGCAATCGAGACGTGTCATTTATTGGTTCATGGATTGTTTGGGATTTGATTCGCCATGCACATTCCTGTTCGAGTACACTACATGTTTGTATGGTTTCAAGCTGACACAATAAAATATAAAATAAACATGAACTCACGTTGAAGACCACGTTTCTGACGTCTGATTGCTGTAGGCTATAGCTACATATATACTGTACATGAAGCACCACCAGTCCCAACCACATTACCACATTTACAGTTTTCAGCTGCTTTGGCAAGTCTAGCAACACAGCTTATCACATGCTATCAAATGTAGTTTATATCTAAGGAATCAGAACCGAGCAATGTATCCATCCTATTATTTTTAGTCAACATAGGATAGTACTGAATGTTAGGAGCAGTTTACTTTTCCTGACAAACACAAAAAATACTATTTAAAAGTTTATTGTGGAAGTCATCTTACAACAAACCATACACCTGCATCAATCCCATCCATCCACTGTTGCCTGCATTCTCATGCCAGAGGTCTGTTGGGTCCGTTAGGAACATGTTGACATCTCCCACCGTGCGCTGCTCCTCTTCTATCCTGGGATCTGCTCATCACTGCTTATCAAAGATGATGAATGTGTATTCTGGCAAAAAATATAAAGTCAAATTAAACAGCTTTTCTTTAAGTAAAAGTTGAATGATTTTACTAGTCTCAGAAAGAATTATGTTATTTTCACATCATATCCAATGATTACCAGTTATTTATAAACACTTTAACCTAACAAATCTGATGGATGATGGTATGAATGTCTGGAAGGAATGATTTGGAAGCCATAAGGACAGAACTTGTAATAAGATAGAATATATATACACAACACAGAGATCCAGAAATCAGGATCTTGTAATAGGCTAGAATATATTGGTTGCTATTCAAGAAGACATTCATTCCATAATCACACGAGACTGAGATTGGACAGAGATCTAAACTACACTCCCAAAATGACTTATGCCCTGATGGGGAACTGAACCCTGACCTGCTGTACCAAATACAGTGGTAATTGGTTAAAACAGAAAAATAAAAATTGACATAGTACCACACAAACGGTCACACAGTAACACACACACACACACACACACTAACAAACCACCCAAAATACACAGTGCAGTCAAAGCAATACAGTCACACAAACACAGGTACAAGTAGCACAGTAACACACCCATACATACACACATGATCTGCCTTCAAAATATGTCAGATGTCAGTAAAAGCTATTCTTTTAGAACTTTAAGCCATTTAATTTCTACCTCTTACTTTGGGATTAAGCTTTCCACTGTTTTAGGAATGCTCTCAAGCTCTCACCTTCTTCAGATGAGGAAGTTAAATTCCCAACTTTAGTTCTTCATTTCATCTTCCATAATTATTCAGCATTGCATCTCAGCCTTCAGCTGTTTCAGCAATGCATCTCAGCATTTTCAGGGCAATTCATCAGCAATCGGCATCCACATGCATTTTCTTCAGTAAATGCATTTGTCTCGTTAAAAATACATTTCTTTCAATATAGTTCTTAACTTTATGCAGGGATGAGCAAAACTGTAACAGCAATACTCCAGACATGCACAGTTATTAACACAATAAAAGAGCTTTGTAGTTGAGTTGAAAACTTTATTTTTGGTCATTGTTTTAATATTTTTTCCTTGTCCTTTTTTATTAATTTTTTTTTTCCTACAGGAGAGAAGGGGTGGTATAACTACTAGACTGAGTTAAAAAAAGAAAAATGATTTGCTAAAAATTCCCTCTTCTCTTCAAAACCCTCCTTTCATGCTGTGTATGCGAGAATCCTGCAACAGTCTGCATTTCTGTTCGTGTCTTGGTACTTTGCAAAAGCCTGCAAAGCTAAGACACATTTGTGGAAGATAAAGCATCTGCTTCCATTTTTCATCTTGTCTGCCCAGCAAGGTGCCTCGTGTCTTTGAAAAGGCTAGAAGTTGGAGAGAAGAACAGGGACACTGCTGCTGTCGTCTGCCGCCTTCATCACCAGCATTAAATATAAAAAGGCCGTCCTCATCTCCTCAATGTTTCTACTGATGAAGAACATTACAGTAGAAGAATAAGGTGCCGTTGTTGTCCCTTCCATTCAGTCTGGGCCTCGTATCCAGCAGCAGTGGCTCATTCCTGGGGACAGCTGGGAGTGCCTGGAGTGGTTTAATTTCCAGATGGGTGGAAGGGAGCAGGATGTGTTTGTACCTGCATCGCTGTGGGAGGTACACAGAAAACTGTAAATTCTACACACTTACTTCTACACACATACAAGGAATCGCTATCACCTATACAGTGAGGAACAGAAATATTTGAACACCCTGTGATTTTGCAAGTTCTCCCCAAATCATGGAGGGGTCTGAAATTCACATTGTAGGTGCATTCCCACTCTGAGAGACAGAATTAAAAAAAAATTTCAGGAAATCACATTGTATGATTTTTAAAGATTTTATTTGTCTTGCACTGCTGAACATAAGTATTTAAACACCTGAGAAACAGCAAGAATTCTGGCTCTCAAAGACCTGTTACTGTGCCTTGAAAAAGTCCACCTCTACTCCACTCATTAATCTAAATTAGTAGCACCTGTCTGAGCTCTTTAAAGACACCTGTCCACCCCACAGTCAGTCAGACGCCAACTACTACCATGGGCAAGACCAAAGAGCTGTCAAAAGACACCAGAGACAAAATTGTGGACCTCCACAAGGCTGGAAAGGGCTACGGGGCAATTGCCAAGCAGCTTGGTGAAAACAGATCAACTGTTGGAGCAATTGTTAGAAAATGGAAGAGGCTAAAGACGACTGTCAATCTCCCTCGGACTGGGGCGCCATGCAAGATCTCACCTCGTGGGGTATCACGGATGATGAGAAAGGTGAGGAATCAGCCCAGAACTACAAGGGAGGAGCTGGTCAATGACATGAAGAGAGCTGGGACCACAGTTTCAAAGGTCACTGTCGGTAGAACACTACGCCGTCATGGTTTCAAATCATGCATTGCACGGAAGGTTCCCCTGCTCAAGTCATCACATGTCCAGGCCCGTCTGAAGTTTGCCAAAGACCATCTGGATGATCCAGAGGAGGCATGGGAGAAAGAAGGGGACAGGACGTCTGCACCGTATTGAGGAGAGGATGAATGGGGCCATTTATTGTGAGATTTTGAGCAACAACCTCCTTCCCTCAGTCAGAGCATTGAAGATGGGTCGTGGCTGGGTCTTCCAACATGACAACGACCCGAAGCACACAGCCAGGATAACCAAGGAGTGGCTCCGTAAGAAGCATATCAAGGTTCTGGAGTGGCCTAGCCAGTCTCCAGACCTCAATCCAATACAACATCTTTGGAGGGAGCTTCAACTCCGCGTTGCTCAGCGACAGCCCCGAAACCTGACAGATCTAGAGGAGATCTGTGTGGAGGAGTGGGCCAAAATCCCTGTTGCAGTGTGTGCAAACCTGGTCAAGAACTACAGGAAACGTTTGACCTCTGTAATTGCAAACAAAGGTTTCTGTACCAAATATTAACACTGATTTTCTCAGGTGTTCAAATACTTATGTTCAGCAGTGCAAGACAAATAAATTCTTTAAAAATCATACAATGTGATTTCCTGAATTTTTTTTTTTTTATTCTGTCTCTCAGAGTGGGAATGAACCTACAATGTGAATTTCAGACCCCTCCATGATTTCTAAGTGGGAGAACTTGCAAAATCGCAGGGTGTTCAAATATTTCTGTTCCTCACTGTACATGTTCAGCCATGTCATACCTTGTGGTATGTAGAAGTGTTGGTGTGCTCCCTGCTGAGGTCCATGCTGGGGCACTGAGCCAGGGCCCTGCTGAGGGGGCGGCTGTAACATCACTAACTGGGGCTGACCGTGGTTTGCTGAGTGGTGGGGACCTGACATGGCTCCTTGTACATGGGCCTGGAAGAGGGACGGACAAAGATTAGATCAGAGTCAAAGGTTTCTGGCCCTGTTTGGCTCAGCACGTCCCTAAAAGTACACCTGCCAAACTAAATGTTTTCAAGCTTTGAAAGACAACACCATAGAGCCATACCTGTGCTATCTGTCCCAGGGGGTATGAGGGTGGGATGCCCTGGTGACTGTGGATGCTGTAGCCCTGAATGGGGTAAGAGCCCTGTGGAGACGTGTGGCCTGGTGGCATGCTGGGTGGGGTGGGAGCTGATAAGGGACCTGAGTGGTACAAGGATTGTGGCTGTGGGCCTGACTGGGCATTCTGAAAGAACATTAATAGAGACAATATGGTAAATTTAACTAGGTATCTATAATGGGAAATATAGCAGTCTTGTACAGGGTATCTCACCTGTCCAGGGCTAGGTGCAGCGTGCTGGGGCGGGGGCTGGTTGCCTGTCGGGGTACTGGAAGGCTGTGGCTGATGCACTGTACCTGAGTGGTGGGAGAAGGACTGTGGGGCTGCACAAAACAAAACAAAACAAAAAAAACAGTACTTTAAAAGAACCATTCTATCAAGTTTTACTTTACTGTGAATGTAATGTGAGACTCTTGACAGGATTGAATTTACCAATAATAATATGCTTCCTATCAACAACTGATAAACTGCGAGTACCTTTAAGTGTTTTAACCAAGGTCCATAATCAGGACATTGGACCTCATTCACAAACCATGTGTATGAACAAACCTGTGCTTAAACAATGTACACACAAATCCAGGATTTATCAACATTTTCTTAACTAAATTTGTTCTTTAATGAAGGCCCAGCTGTCTTAAAAATGCAGATTTTAACTAAAACCACACTAACTAAAAAGGCTTTAATATAATTACATATAAATATAATTTAAAATTAACCATCAACTTACTAATGCATTTGCCAAACGTAGCCTATTAAATAACCACAAAATTAATGCCCTTTCATCCTCAATCAGTTATAAGTAAAATATCCAAATATTGTGGCCACTCTGTAGCCGAGTGGTTACGAGGCAGTGCACGAAGAGGTGCAGTAATTAACAAAAGGCAAAAAAAGCCCAACAATATATCTGTAAAAAAATTATATTCCCAGTTCTAGCTAACAAGTAGACCATGTAAAATCATATATTGTTTGTGACTTGGCCCACAATCATCAACTATTCCTACTAATTTCTAGTGCCATAAAATTACACATACATAGCCAGTGTTAAGTGGTAACCACCTGGCTAATTTGCAGCCTCTTAGAAGGCTACAGGATACAGAAACGATTCCAATTTGCTTCCAGCTTAGTGTTAAGATGGCACATGGAGCCTTGCTGGAAGATGTTGCAGCCCGTTCCTTCAGGAGAGAGCGTAAGGTATCAACATTTCTATGTATATATTAGTGAATGAGGCCCATTGTGTAAAATCCCCTAATAAAGTATGAGAAGTAGTGTGATTTGAAATTTTTGAACCTTGCATATGTAAACATTTTGTTTCTCATTATCAAGCAGGAGAATTGGTTCCACTCACCATAGATGCCCTGCTGTGGTCCCTGAGGGCCGTCTCCCTGTGCAGGAAACTGGGGGCCTCCTGGGGGACCCAGGGCTGGTGCACCTGCACCTTGACCTATCATCCTGGCTCCACCCTGCAGCATGGAATACATTGGCTGCAGACAGGAGGAAAAGACAGGAACAAATAAGCACATTTTCTAATTTTCCTATTGTTTTAAATGTGGAAGCAAGATAGCAGCTGTTATGATTAACAAGCTCTCAGAATTAGATGATCCTACTTAGCAATTAGGTTTCTTTTAATACACTGTGTGCATAATTATTAGGCAAGTTGTATTTTTGAGGATTAATTTTGTCATTGCACAACTACAGTGCTCTTGGTCAATCCAAAATGTTAACAAACCCTCAAACCTGAACATTTAAGTAGTAAAAGTGAAGTTTTGGCTTTCTTAAGAGAATATCTACATGTACACCATTATTAGGCAACTATTAGTGTGCAGAATTATCATGCAGCTAAATAAAAAACAAAGATTTTCACCTGTTAAAGTGAGAATAATAAACAAACTCATAATTTACAAATAAACAGTTCTGAAATTCCAAACAGAAAACCTCAGTGACCAATCTAGCCACCCTTCTTTTCGATAACAGAAACAAGCCTTCCATTCACAGAGTCAGTCAGTTTGTTGATCTGGTCAGAATCAACTTTTTGTGCAGCCGCAACCACAGCCTCCCAGAGACTGTTCAGAGAGGTGTACTGTTTACCTTCACTGTAAATTTCCTGCTTAAGAAGGGCCCAAAGGTTCTCAATAGGGTTTAAGTCAGGTGAAGAAGGGGGCCATGTCATTAGTTTTTCATCTTTAAGGCCTTTACTGGCCAGCCACGCAGTGGAGTACTTTGATGCATGTGATGGAGCGTTGTCTTGCATAAAAATCAAAGTCTTCTTGAAAGATGCAGACTTTTTCCTGTACCACTGCTTGAAGAAAGTGTCTTCTAAAAATTGGCAGTAGGTCTGAGAGTTGATTTTGAGTCCATTTTCAACCCGAAAAGGTCCAACTAGCTCATCTTTAATAATACCAGCCCATACCAGTACCCCACCTCCACCTTGCTGGCGTCTGAGTCGAAGTGGAGCTCTGTGTCCGTTACTGATCCAACCACGGGCCCATCCATCTGGTCCGTCAAGAGTCACTCTCATCTCATCAGTCCACAAAACCTTTGAAAAATCTGTCTTCAGATATTTCTTGGCCCATTCTTGACGTTTCAACTTATGTGTCTTGTTCAGAGGTGGTCGGGTTTCAGCCTTTCTTACCTTGGCCATGTCTCTGAGAACTGAACACCTTGTACTTCTTGACACTCCAGGTAGGTTGCAGTTGTGGAATATGGCAGCACTGGAGGATAATGGGTTCCTGGTAGCTTCATATTTGATTCTTCTCAAATCTCTGGTGGTTAATTTGCATCTTTTCTTCTCAACACGTTTCTGGCGACCCTGGTGACTATTTGCTATAAAATGTTTGATAGTTCTGTGATCACGCCCCAATATCTTAGATATTTCAAGAGTGCTGCATCCCTGTGAAAGACTTTTTACAATTTTTGACTTTTCAGAGTCAGTTAAATCTCTTTTTTGGCCCATTTTTCCAGAGGAGAACATTCTGCCTAATAATTATGCACACCTTGATATAGGGTGTTGATCTCCTTAGGCCACACCCTCCCTCGTTACACTAAAACACATCACCTGATATGCATCAAGTCCAATAAGCGTTCAAGTTTATACTGCTTGGAGTTGGAAATTATGGATAAAATGATGATATGGTCAAAATACTCACTTGCCTAATAATTGTGCACACAGTGTAGTACTGCAAACATTCTGCTAACCATTTCAAAGTTGTATTACAAAAGAGGTTATTTGTCCTACCTGTCCAGGGTAGGGTGTCATGGCCTGGATGACCTGCTGCTGGCCGTACTGCTGCGGGTTGTATTGAAGGTATGACTGAGGGTAGGGGGATGCTACCAGAGGGGCCCCAGCTGCTGATGCTGCAGCTTGCAGCATGGGGGGTCCTGAAGTACCATGATCAGAGCGTGGGGCCACTACTGAGCCTAACGGAGGCAAAGAATTATCAAGACAATAGAAACATGTTCAAAACACTGCACATAGACCTACTGTGAGAGGCAGCTCTGACAATTGGTTTGTAAAGTAGATGTACATTTGTGCTGTACGTTAAAGCAGTCTGGTCCTTTGTAGTACAACTGTAACACACAACAAACTAATAAAAGCATGATTTAGTATGGCTTAACTGAAAAGCTTCAGTCTCAGCACTATGTTCTGAAAATGACTCAAGCTGCCTTTAAATATCTTCAGAAATGAGAAGGTTTATTTTAGAAAAGGGGTACGTGTGTGTCCATCTCACACGATCCAATATGTACCAAAACCAAATACATAAAACAGGATGTTTACTTCACCTTATAGATGCTGGGATGCACCTGACTTTCACTGAAAGGCTTCACTTATTTTGCGCCTCTGTTCCAGAGTCAGTATCATTTGTCTAAATCCCATATTATCAATAACACTAAGGGCATGTCCTTGCAAATTAAATAGCTTTAGTTATCGACTTTGACCAGGTTTCATTATTAGCCAATGTGCTCTGTAAGAATGGTGTAATGCACATGCACACTAGAGGCTAGAGCACAAAGAGAAGAAACTTGCTAGAGATCAGTTTTTGAACTCCCCATCTATTTGACTGTTTTTAATACAATAATTAATTTGGTTCGAATCTTTGGATTTGAGCAAAAGCAGCTGTATCTCTGACTCTCGTATTGATTTTCCAATACACACAGGTTACTCTTTACACCCCTATTTTAGAAGCCATTTTACTGGAAACAAATTAAAACAAGAGAGAAATGCTGCATTTACCTTTGGTCCTGGGGTATTTTCCCTGGCCGACTGTAGACATGGTGTACTGGTACATGGGTGGGGGCTGTGAGATGGAAATGATCAAGTACTTAACACAAACATTTTGAGATATACATTTAAAGTTGAAACAATTAGTCAACTAATAGAAAACTGGCAATGACTCTGATCCTCATTTAACTGCTTTAGTGTTTAAGTAAAATTCCAAAAACATCTCTGATTACAGCTTCTGAAATGTTTGCCTAATATTTACAATTCTGTTGTATTATATGATAATGAAAGAAGTGTCTTTGGATTTTAAATTGTTCAGACAAAATGGGACATTTAAAGAGGACACATTGGGCTGGATGAATAGACATTCCTATACTAGTTTTTGGCTAAACTAAACAATTGCTTGAGAAATGACCTTGGTAGAAATAACTGTACCTTTAAAATCATGTGCTCAAATGGCCACGTCTGGTATGAAAAGAAAGTCATTGTTCATGGCCTGGTTGTTACTTCCAAACAACTTGCAGAAATGGTTACATGTTTTTGATAAGAAACTGCTGCCCCTGTAAAGGTTTTGTTCATGTACCTGAACAGAATGAATCTGTGACACATAGGAGAGGTAAGGAGCATTATAGAGTGGCCCTTGTCCGCCTGGGTGCTGTAGGACCACTGGGCTTGGAGGAGTTGGTCGAGGTGGGGTTGGTGCAGTGTTGGGCTTTGTCTGTTAAGATAAGACAACCAGGGGTAAATAAACCTGCATCTCACTTACCCAACCACAGTTTGCTCTGTGTTCTTTGGCGAATTCCTACAGCAAAATCCACAGATCTTTGAACATAAAACTGATTGACTATAAAAGGTTTTTTCAAGCCTTTTTGTGCTTACTGAAGCACCAGATTTAACAATAATGAACTTACCATAGGTATCTGAGGTTTGATAGGGTTGAACTCTTTAGCATTGGGATTTAAGGTTGATTTCTTAACTTGGCTAAAAGATATAAAAAAGAAAAAGCTGTTTACACCATCTTAAGACAAAATTAAAAAAAACTCATATAGTTTACCAGGAGCAATCTCTCATCTTTTCTAAAACTCACTCTGCCACACCCTCTGCCCGCTCTGTTGTGTCAGACCGGACCTCTTCACTTCCTGGGGTGCTGGCTGGCTGTGGTGCGGCTGGTGACTGCCTGTCTGAAACAAGGTTGGAGTGGCCGCCGTTGTTGCACCAGTGGCTGCTGCATTCTCCTTAATGGGGTCCTCAGCGGGGGCAGGTGATGGCTGAGGTGGGGGCTGAGAGGGGCTGGGAGCTAAAGGCTGAGGTTTGGGCTCAGGGTGGGAGTCTGACGGTGAGGGCTTGGCTGCAGTGGACTGAGCGACCTCAGTGACAGCTGGAGGGGCTGCTTGTGGTGGAGAACTGGGGGAGCTTGAGCTGCCTCCACTTAGCTGGAGCTGGAAGAAAAAGAGAAGCAGATGATGATAGTAGTGATGAGATGAATCACGGGTGATGGCGGTGACAGCAAAGAGAAGAGAAAAGGAGATAAGATATAGCAAACATAAATGTAGCTGGGCTGCAACTACTTCCATTAATCTGATTACTTTCTCAAGTGTTTGGGGTCTATAGCCAGAAAATGATGAAAAATACCAGTAACAATTTTCTAAAGCCTATTTTGACGGGTTTGTCTAGTCAACAATCCTAAATAGATTACTATTTCACAAAAGGAGTAAGAAAAATAGCAAATGAGAGGCTGAACTTCAGTTCATCAAATTTGCATTTGCATTACAGAAACCCAAGACTAATGTAATGTGCAGCTAAGTTTGACACTAAGAAATGTTCAACCCAGAGTGTATCAGCACACTGTTCTGATCCTGAGAGCGCCCAGACACACTGTGCGGGCCAACTGGTATTGAATTCCTTGCAATTCGTGTACAAGGTCACAACCAAATAAATAAGACAAGTGATTTTTTTGAAGGGAAGTCAGACAACAGTGACATCTCCAGACATAACCTTTTGATTGGCTGCTGTTTTCCTTCATTTCACAGTTCATGGAAAGGTAACTTAATTCTCACCCTGAAACCCCCGGCAAAATTCCGCAGCTCTTCAAAATGCAACAATCGCTGAACTGAGGGAGCTAATGGAGGAGAGAGGAAACAGAGGTTAGTGAAAATGTGAAATTTTGAAAACTGCTAAATCAATTGATACTGTCAAAATACATGCACACAACCTATTTACAATATTTAATTGGTAACAAATTCTAGTCTTGTACACATACCTTTATTACTCTTGCCCTCCTCTGTGATGCCGGGGCTCTCAGTGGAGCGCTCCTTTGCAGTTGCACCAAGGATCTCATTCACTGTAGAGGGGGCAAAGAGCAAGCTCAGAATATATCTACTGCTCACCGCTACAAGAAAAAATGGTTTTTGACTTTGATTTTACACTTTTAAGTGCAATAACTATAGGCTCAAGGTGAGATAGTACCATCTACAGGGAAGAGAGGGGCGGGGCCAGACGTCTTCTGGGTAGGCAGGGAGACAGACGATGTGTCTAAATAAGGCGTGTCCTGCGAAGAGCCTGATTTAGGGGAGCGAATAGCTGCAAGGATACGATAAAGGTTAAGTTTTAGACAAAATCAACAACACAGGAGAGACTGAATAACAGCAGCTAGCTTGAGTTCATGTTACCTGTGGACTGAGTGTGCGAGTTTGGAGTGCGAACTGTCCTGCTCGACTGTGGAGGTCTCTGAGCTTTAGGAGATGTTCTAACAGAGACTTAAAGACAAAAACAACAACAAAACCTTTTTGTTTTCTACTTTCATTATGCCTTACCAACATTCATAGATACTGCTGAAATGCTTTTTGTCATAGGTTCTCACATTTACCTCCATTAACAGGCCTGCCAGCATCTGACAGGGAGTGTGGGAGTGACTGAGAATGAGGGACTGTGTGTCCATGTACGGCAGGGGGGTTGGTTGGGGAAGGGGCAGCAGAAGCAGAGGCTGGCGTAGGTGCTGGTCCACCAGGAGAGGCAGGTGTGTATGGGCTTGCAGGGCTAGAGCCCGGACCTGGGCTGGGGCTTCCCTGGGGGTGGTGGGGAGTGTAGGCCCCAACTCGGCCTGAGAGAGGGCTGCTTCTCTCTGACGGGGATACGGTGGTCTGGGGCCCCGAAGCAGAGGGCAAGGGGGGTCTCGGGGACGGGGAAGAAGATGACGGAGGGGGGAAGCGGTAACCTCCGCCTAGACGACTGTGAGGTGAAGGCCCGCCAGGACCCCTCTCGGCTCGCTCCCGGTTCATCTCTCTCTGACGCTGAGGTAATGGAATGTACTTGCCCTCCCTGGAAAAACAAAGAATACATGTCACACACAAAGAATACAGTGGTGACAAGAAATACTGTGCCATCTAAAATGACTTTTGTAATGCTGTTTTGTCAACAATATTTTCAGGGTCAAGAACAAAAGTCAAAGTTCACTTAGTAGCTGTTGTGGGACTTTTAGTCTTTCACATGATCTTGCCCTCAGAGGATGGAATGTGGCCAACTGAAATAATAGTGGGATAAACTGCAACCTCCAGCACAGCCACCAAACACACCTTTAGGTGAAATTTTTGTCAGCTGTCATTTCAGTGGTTAAGAATAAACTCAATTTTTATGAGACGTCTTGAAAATGTTCAAATTAAAAATCTGAATACCTACAATGTCTTGACAACTTGTCAAAACCCTTTGTCCGAGGGAGGTCATGTGATGCAATCAAAACCTTCAGAACTGCTAATAACTGGACTGAGGAGAGACTGTTTAGTCAATTGAAACCACATTGAAAGAAGTAGTATGTGTAACTGTGACTATTATTATTATTTTGCTTACTGGTTACAGCTTTTTTTTCTTTTTTTTTTTAAACCACACACTTTCCACATTTTCCCTCAACTTCTTCAGTCAGTTGTTGTTGACTTGTTGTCTAAGAAGTATAATTTTAGCAACAGAGATCACGATTTTAATGCTGTTTGTAAGCCATCTCTCTCATCACAAATGTCAGAACTACAACAGTTTCGTAAAGTCAGTCAGATGTGTTAGCTGCATAATCATTACCCAACAAAAAAAAAAAAATGACTGAGCTTGATATTTATGGAGATAAATAACTATCAAACCTCTTCAGGTACAATTTCCCATTATACTAAAAATAACAGAAAATAATGGTTGATGTGAAAGTAGGATAAAAATTTAATTCCTCATGTTGCTGCTGTTTATGAGGGTGGAATGTGAACTAATACCTGTTGAAAATCAAATCCTACTGCCCACCAGTATGAGTAGCCCTACTCACCTGTTGCTGGCTCCAGGGCTGTCTCGACCCCTTTCACGTTCTCTGTCACGGGGACTTTCACGGCCCTTCTCCCGATCACTGCTATCCCGCACCACAGCGCTGTACTTGTCCTCCTCGCTTTTACCCTCATCGTTTTCCAGGTTAACACGATGGTGATACTGGGGACTAGACTCAATCTCACTTGCCAGGCGAGCGGCACGTGCCTCCCTCTGCCGATAGACCTCAGAGTTGCCTTTTTCCAGTGGTACACTGGACAATGACAGATAATTGCCTGTTTCATTACCTTGATAACCACAAAATAAGGAACCACCGATGTCTATTCTACTAGCGTACCAAAAATCCACAAGAAATGGGAGAACCTTTGTGTGCCAAATCAAGTAGCATGGATTAAATCCACAGTAGCAACATGTTAGAACAATTTTTTCTACAATGTTTGGCTCGTCCTAGCAATATTAATTTTTCAGAAATTCCTGAAAGCAACATATCTGTATGGAAACTTACGTATACATAGAGAGGCTGGAATCATATGTTGATGTGACTCCATATTTTGCTTCATTGTAACGGAACATCTCATTGGCATCCCAGCCATTAGACTAGATGGAAAAATGGGGCAGTAAAATAAGTACTTATATTATCAGTGAATGACTGACAGCTTGTTACAAAAGATCTGAAGAAAAAAATAAAATAAAATAAAATCACACAACTAAGAGGCTGAATATTATTATTATACCAATTTTGAAACCAAAGGACATTTTATTTGATTTGATGGTTGGTTTGTTTTGAAATGTGACAAAGCAACTCACTGCATCATTGTCCAGATCGTAACTCTCTCCATTACTGTCTCCTCCCTCCCATCTCTGCAACACCTTCTCCTTGTGTTCTCCATTGACACGGCTGGAGCTGATGGCCGTGTCTGTGAATGTATCTGGTACCAATGACACAGCGTTACTCAGGACACAATGAAACACTCAAAGTGCCTCTTTTGCCAAAATTTTCAGTAGCCTGCATTCAGTTTTAATTTTAAATATTAAAAGGTTTCCATTTGTTTATTTTAATCATATTTCTTCCTCTTTTTATATTAATCTTTCTTTCCCACACATTATCAAAAAGTAAATTCAAGCCAGTGTCTTGACAGATGATCAACCTGGATACTCAACTTGTTACTCAAACTGCATTTTCAAACTTTCTCACTGCTTACAGGCCTTAGAAAACCCACTTACTATAAATCAAGGATGCTCTTAACATGGACACAATCTAATATTTACTTTCACACCTAGACCTCTTTCTTTAAGAACTAAATGTCTCTGTCACAAATGTATTGCAGGCTTGTATTCATTACTTTACTGCCCTAGTACCCTGATCTCCAGCATGTGTGTTTGTACCTCTGGTAGCATAGTTGAGGTCAACATCTCTGCAGATCATTGTAACCAAGTCAGAGGGGCTGAAGATCATAGTGTCAGTGATGTCCTCCCTCCGTGGATGAGCTGATGTCGAGACTTCCTCCCCACTGCGTTTGTGTACCGCATCCACAGCCAACTCACACTACAGAAATTAATCAACAAAAGAAAATGCCATATTTTTCTTTGACAGGACTTTAGAATTATAGTGATAGGATTATATGCAGTGCTTTCTTATATTTAGGGAAGTGTGTGCCATTTGCGCAACATGGGCTTCGTACCCGAGAACTTAGAGTCTTGAATATGCCTTCAAATACACTTCCATTCTTCACTCTTATGTCACAAGTGGAACCCTGGAAAAGACAAAGATTTTTATAAAATCTTCTGAACTGCAAGGTGATTCAAACACAAACTGCTATTTAAATTAGTAAAATATTCACAGTGTATCCTATATACTGTGAATATTTCATAGACACATCAAGCCCATGACACAGGGGGTACAGTCTGCCTCTTCACAAACAAAAGCAATATATGCTTGTTTTCCCAGAAGAATTAGCAGAGGGGGGGTTCTGTTTGCATTTGCATCGCCAATAGGAACGCTAAAGTGACATAATACTAAGCTGGCCGACTGTTAACAAATAACCAACATGCTCACAGTGGTTAACACATAGCAACATTACATTACCAATAAGTACTTTCTTTATATATTGCCAATGTTAATTATATAAGAAGCCACTAACTCTCTACAGAAGCTTCTGTTGGTGGACTGCAGCTCCCCATGCTGTTGGTGACGGCCATTGATTACCGTTTACACAGCTGATACGGATTTAAGCAGTGGTGCAGTAAACGTACACCTACATCACTAATGGTTCCTATTGTGTTTATAGAGTACCTACCCTTAAGTAGGAGCTACCATTATTGTTGCAAGTTCCTGTGGTGCCGACACACAGGAAAGGAAGTAATTGCTCAATAGTTCTATGAAAAAGTTCCTCTGGTCTGAAAGCACCTTTAGATAGAGGTAGGTTGCATCTTATCTCTGTCTGCTATGGTAAGTGCCAAAGGGGGTGATGCAAGCCATTAATTTTCTAGAATAACCATCATGTTCAGGGAAGGACACTGACAAGCCAAATGACTCACCACAACAGCTGTGAGGAAATGAAGCATTCTGGCATTGTTATAGACACCCTCAAATACCTGCAGATGGGAAAAGAACAATGTATCCATTAAGACAAAATTTTGCGAAAAAATTAGATAAAAATTGCCATATAGTGTTAAATTCAAAAGAACATGGTCTGATGCTGACAAAACGTCACTATGAGATTGTGTTAACCACTACATAAATTTAGCTGATCAATTTACAAGGGCAAGGGAACACTCAAGTGAGGAGTTACAGAAACCTCCTAATATACAAGGACGGGTGAGAACAGAACTTCGCTCTCAGATGACGCACACTTTTTCCTGAAATTAGTATTTTTAGACCAACTTACATTGTTTCCAACTTTTTAACATCGTGGCACTGAGCATACAGTTTACTCTTACGGGAACACACAGTCAGCGCAAAGTGCACATCTTTTGATAAGTAAGATAAGGGTATGGATTTCCCTGTTGAGGGAATCAAGAATAGTGTGTTAGCATTTAGGAAAAACTTTCACCCACATCAGACTAACTTTGGTGTGCTAGGTATTTTTAGTCAGATAAAAATTGGATAGATACTTTATCATGCCACGTGGACATCACTTTTCCTGACGGTTCCGTTCAATGTCGTGCAACTCCAAAAACCACATTCAGACAGATGTTGCAGACTACACCCCCTGATGTTGACTTGCTTTTTGATTCCTCAGCTGATGTTTGGTGGGGACTTGTGGACCA